GAAAAGATAAGAAGAGGGTTGGAGGGGGAAAAACGTCAAGCAAGACAAAAAAGATAGAGTCATGTCAGAATTGTGAGAAAGAGCAGAATTCCAGAAAATTCCCTGACTGTTCTTGTTCTGCTCCTACTGCCTCCATCAGCCTCTCACAGATTTTCCTGGCACAGCTTTGAACCCTGGAAGATGCTAGAGTGCCTCTCTGTCCCAGTTACCCTGTGGTTTATCCCTCTACATCATTTCCAGTTTTAACTACTATCACACCCTACCAGTGGAAATCATAAATGGTCTATGCTAGAAGTGGAAAATAGTCCACAGAGACCATGCTTCCTGAACAAAAATAAAATCCACAACTTTGGATTCATTTAATATTCATTTCTACCAAATTCCTATATTCTCACTAGCAACTGATGAAAGAGAGTACATGCATAACACCCCCACCATTACACAAAGCCAGTTCCAATTGCACATAAATCATTATCTCCCTCTCTTACATGCACTTTTATTCTCACTGGATCTATGGGGATGCAAACACTGCGCTACAGATGGCCTGTGCTTTAGGAAGGAACAAACCCGTGCGGTGGCGTGGAGCTCTCCAGAGCCCTCCCAGTCCTCATTGCTGTGCTGAGAGAGGCAGAGGAAACACAGAGCTGCCTCTACACCCACAAGAGAGGAATCTTCTTTGAGGTCTACTCATGTCCCCACTGTGAATTACTACCTGACTACTAGGCTGGGTGAGAGTTTTCCATCCTTTTATATATATAACACCTTATAATAATCCATCGTGGCCTTAGACTATCTTCTCATATACAAACAAAAGTATCAAGACCTGATTAGATCATGCTGGAAGCCTATATATTAAGATTATCATCACATTAACTGCTAGAGTATTAAACTGCCAAAACACATGGCCATCTAGTTCTGGTATTGCAAATAGGTCAGTTCGTACTTGCTGTACCAAAGAGCTACACAGCCTTTTGAATTATTCCTACTCTGATGAATCACGGCACTCTCTGCTCAGGGCAAGCACCAGGTGGATTTCTTAAAGAAAGACCAATGGTCCTTGATCCATTAGATCCATTCTTTTTACACTAACACAACAGTGCAAATCCCTCATTCCAATTGCCTTTGAACACTAGCCGTAGGTGCTTGATAGATCACCAGCTGTGCTCAATAAATACTGATTCAGGCTTGTTCTTGACATTTGGCTTCTAGTAATCATTTTAAGACCCAAGGAAAATACTTTACTGGAACCGGACTTCTTCCATAATAGCTTGGAAAAATCAAACTGGTATTTCTCAGATAATAATTTGTGGTTTCTCAACAGTTACATAAAAACCTCATACTGTGAACATTTCTAATACACAAACCCAAAGGCACAAATCTTTTTATATTAGAGTGCAAAAATATGGAGAGAACTATTAGTTTAAATGAGAAATTCATTTCTAGCCATGATACCTGTATATTGGGTTTACTTTCCTAGAATATTGCATGTGTTTACTTTGACCACACCATAACAACTCACCAACCGCTAGTGTCAACACTCCATTTTAATTTATAGAAGAACAAAGTTCAAAGTGTCAATGAAAGAAACAAAAATGCACACTCAAAGCATGTCACACTCTTTGTTCAACTCAAAAGTTACAGCATAGAAATCCCTTTAGAAGGAATAATAACGCTCATGTGATAACACATGCAGCTGGTTTGAGACAGGCATGTTAGCAAAAGTACTGAAAACAACACAAAAGACTCAGGGAAGGAGACTGGAGAAAGGGAGAACTCATATCGTGGCTGGCAATTATAAAGATTTACCAGAACACAGACAAACAGTACACGGTGGTCAATATTCAGGTGCAACATCTAGTTATGAGGTGATCAGCTGGCCACAGGCACAGAAAACAAAGTATTTTAAGATCCAACATTGCAAAGCAATCTGAAAACCCAGTGAAGAAAACCACTGACCATAAGACCTGCAGCCCTTCAGAGGACAAACTTGGTGGCTGCCTCTACCCTGCACTTGCAACAGCCATCACAACTGGGACATGTTTTCCCTCTCACAGACAATCTGCAGTCAGAGCTTTGCAGCAAATATCAAAGCCACACAAGTGTCTCCTAGAGGTGTCAAGTGTAGATACTGACATATCAGTCATGCTTATGAGATGATAATTACTACACTGCAACCAAGACAGTAAGTCTAACTTTCAACAGTACTCACTCCACAGGTCCAAAGGCACTTCCTTTCTCTGCTGCAGAAAGATGTGGTTCTACCCTTTGCTCTGCCACCAGCCTTTAATTCCTTCTCCTCATCCCTATGAGGACAACTACATTCATGCAAACATATGAGGAACCATATCATGCAACTGATCCAGCTAGCCAAGCTCCTTCCTGAAAAAAAAAAAAAA